ATCATAATGAAACGAGATTTTGCCTATATCACAACGATGGTAGAGAGAAGAGAAAAAGGCCTCGGTGGAGAAAAGAAAGAAGGTGGAGCCGTGAATAGAGAAGAAGAAATGAAAACTAAAAAAGATGGATATCGTGTGATAGGGTTAGGGTGTAATTGAATTATTATAATTTAATTTAATATTAAATAATTGGTTTTTGTCAAATAAAAAAAGTAAAACATAAATTTATACAAGGTAATACATAAGGGTATTCTAGAGAAATCGTAATTAAAAAGGCTGATAAATAAAACTTTGGATTTATCTCAAAAAGGAGAAATTTTTTTGGGCCTACACTAACTATAAAAGGCATATGAAGCGGTTTTCTCAAATAATCCCTAAATTAAAAGCCCGATTCTGACCCCGGTAATGGCCCGGACCGAACCCATCAAGATCCGCCCCATCCAGGACCCGCGTCCCCGCAGGTCAGGTCGGCTTCGGCCCCCAAAAACTGGAATCTGGCATTAAATTTGGAACCACATTACCACACCATTAAGGTTATAAATAAAATAAAATTTAAATTAAAAAAAGAAATCAAATTTATAAATATCTTATATTAAGATAAACGAGAATGTCTGAACATGGAAAGAGACTGACTAGTCAAATTCGAATCTCTTAGATTTGATTCTACGATTCAATGTCGAATTGGGTAATTTTTTGAGGGGTTTTTGTTCATAAGTTCCCAATCAAATATCTTTATTATTCTAAGTTTAGGGGTTATATATTTCTTTCACTAATAAGTTTATCGCTTTAATATTTAGCTAATAAATAGATTGTGATTTCGAATCGGGAAAGATTAAACGCAAGCAAAATACCTAGTAATGTCCCGGGGCAACGGAAACATGTACGAATAAGAAAAATAAGTTCCCAACCAAATATCTTTATTATTCTAAGTTTAGGGGTTATATTTCTTTCACCAATAAGCTTATCCCTTTAATATTTATTATAAATAAAGGAAACATTCATGTATATGACAATATTACCCCCAACTCTTTATACCAAATTCTTAATTGTAAGAGATAATTAGTGAAAACCCCCGATTCATTTACTTATATTAAGGTGGATATAACCTCATTTTCATTATTAGTGAAAACCCCCCACCTTATATTAAATAATATTTTTTTAATTAATATTATTTTAGATATTACTAATGTACCTAATTTGCCCTATTATATCTAAAATAATTAAACCTATTTCACGTTCTCTATTTCTCTTATTCTTCTCTCTTTTCTCTCTACATATCGCCGCCTCCAACTCTCTTCCATCTGTGTTCTGCCACCGCCTCCAACCCTCTTCCATCTCTGCGCCGCCATCGTTACTCTCTTCTCCCAACGGCGTTCCTCCCTCCACCGACGCGAAAAGAAGACGGTCTTCACCCCTGGGATTCTCTCGTCAAGGACGACGTTAGGGTTTTCGCTAGGGAGAAAGACGAGATTATACAGCGGCGCTAGGGTTGATATTGCGTCTGAGATTTCAATACAGACCACTGCCACATTGTTTCATTGTTGTTGTTCTTCTTCTTCTTCTCTGATTTTTTTATTTTTTGGAATCCAATTCTTGAATCATAATTTTCTTAATTGGAGTTTTTGGTTGAATTCTTATATAAAAGGCTAATTTTGTGTTCAATCAATAGTACAATGTAGGTTTTGTTTTTGTTGAAATTGTGTGGTGTTATTTACAGATTTATAGAGATTTTCGCACAACAATATAGTTGTTTTCGTACATCAATATAGTTGTTTTCGTACAACAATATATTGTTTTCGTACAACAATATAGTTGTTTTCGTCAGCAATATAGTTGTTTTCGTACAACAATATAGTTGTTTTCGTACAACAATATAGTTGTTTTCGTCAGCAATATAGTCGTTTTTATTACTTTTTAATTGAATGTAATAGTTGATTTAACAAATAGTTGATTTTTATAAATGAGAGTTGTTGGAGATATATAGTTGTTTTAATCATATTGTTTTAATAACAGTTGTTTTAATAATAGTTGTTTTATTGAAATATAGTTGTTTTAAGTGAAGACAAAAAAAAATAGAAACAAATATTTTTTAAAAATATAATAAAAAAATTAAAAAAATATTTTTTTAAAATATATCTTTTTTAAAATAAGAAATAAATTAAAAAACGAAAATTAAAATTAAAATACAAAATAATAAAAAAAATAAAAGTGTATCAAAGTAGTGTATAATAGGTAGTGAATAGAGGAAGGGTAAATTTGAGAATAAAAAAAGGATGGGTCTCTCACTAATAAAGAAAATGAGCTGGATCCATCCTTATTAAAATAAAGATAGAGGGGGTTCTCACTAATAGTCCCTAATTGTAACCCCCATTTAATCAATTTTTTCCACAAAAATCCAATTTTGACTTTTTTTTTCCAATTTTTTTTTTTGCTGACGGATTCCGGTGTTGACTTTTCGATTTTTTTTTTCTTATTTCCGCCGCTTGATTCCGGTGTTGATTTTTTTTAGTGTTTTTTTTTTGTTTTTTTTTTTTACGTCCGCCGCTAAACGTTGACCGTTATTTTGCTGTCACTGACAGTAAATTAACGTAATTATACTGTCAATGATAGTTAATTAACGTAATTGTATTGTTGTTGACAATGCAATACATTTATGTAATTGTTCTGCCGTTGACAATACATTTATGTAATTTGTTGACAAATCAACGTAATTATATTACTATCGTTGACAGTAAAATAACTGTAAACACAATAATATTACTGTCAACAACATCAATATTATTATTTTATGAGTTTTTTGTTTTGTTTGAGTTATTCACGGAGTAACATAATAACATTACTGTCTATTACTGTTATATTACTGTAACACAATAATATTACTGTGGTTGACGGTAATATTACTGTTAGTATAGTAATATTGCATTAGTTTACGATTTCTGTTGAGTGGAGCTGGTGATTACAAAGTCGACCTCTTGTTTAGTTTTTTTTTTTTTTTTTTCTTTTAATACGTTTATTATCATAGACTTATTAATCTAATTTATTAGATTAGGGCCATGTAAAACAGTATCTATTTCTTTTATATAAATTGATTGTCAAACTTCCAAAACCCATGTATTATGTAATTCGCTATTAGAATTTTAAATAACGTATGGTTGATGTCATTTAACCACGTGCATGACACGCTGAAAAATAATATGAGTTCTTAGAATAGAAATTATCTTGAAATTAAAATAACCAAATAGGCTAGCTCCTTAATTAATAGGGACTATTAGTGAGAACCCCTCAAGCATTATTTTAATAAGCATGGACCCAGCTCCTTTTCCTTTATTAATGAGAGACCCATCTTTTTTTTATTCTCAAATTTACCCTTCCTCTATTTACTACCTATTATACCATACTTAGATGCACTTTTTATTTTTTTATATTTTAATTTTAATTTTCGTTTATTTATTTATTTCTTATTTAAAAAATAATATTTAAAAACAAATATTTTTTATAACTTTTTATTATATTTAAAAAAAAAAATATTTTTAGTATTTTTTTTGTCTTCAGCTAAAACAACTATATTTCAATAAAACAACTATTATTAAAACGACTAATGTTAAAAACAACTATATTAAACAACTGTTATTAAAACAATTATATATCTCCAACAACTCTCATTTATCAAAATCAACTATTCTATTTGTTAAATGAACTATTTATTAACATCAACTAAAACGTAGTAAAAACAACTATATTGTTATACGAAAACAACTATATTGTTGTACGAAAACAACTATATTACTGTACGAAAACAACTATATTGTTGTACGAAAACAACTATATTACTGTACGAAAACAACTATATTGTTGTACGAAAACAACTATATGTCTGTAAATAGCACCAACACAATTTCAACAACAAACAAACATCCATTATACTATTGATTGAACACAAAATTAGCCTTCAATATAAGAATTCAACCAAAATCTCCAACTAAGAAAAATGAGATTCGAGAATTGGGTAAAAAATCAGAGAAGAAGAAGAACCACAACAATCAAATAATATTAGCGGTGGTCTCTATTGAAATCTCAAACGCAATATCAACCCTAGCGCCGCTGCGTAGTCTCGTCTACCGAAAACCCTAATGCCGTCCATGACGAGAGAATTTCAGGGGTGGAGACCACCTTCTTTTCGCGGCGGTGGAGGGAGGAACACCGATGGGAGAGAGTAGACGACGACACAGAGACGGAAGATGGTTGGAGATGGCGGCATCAGCAACGCAGAGATGGGGAGGGTTGGAGGCGGCGGTTTATAGAGAGAAAAGGGAGAGGGAAATAAGAGAAATAAAAAGAACGTAAAATAGGTTTGGTTATTTTAAATATAACACAGAAGGACATATTAGGTATATTAGTAATGTTAAATACAATATTAATTAAAAAATAAATTATTTAATATAAGGTAGGGGGTTCTCACTAATAATGAAAAAGAGATTATATCCACCCTAATATAAGTAAATGAATTGGGGGGTTTTCACTAATTATCCCTAATTAATAAGCTGGTTCTGGAAATTAAACTTGTTTTATTAATTCAAGATGACAACTTTACATATTAATTAATTTTCAAAGTTATGGCATCTTGTCAAATAGAAAAGCAGTTAGATCCATATGTGTGGGGAAGGAGGCATGTCACATGCATGAATTGATTGAAATTCCAAAAGTAGCGTACTAGAACAATATTGCAACTCACCAACCCTCATTAGGAGAGTTGGTACCTAGCCTTACCAATAGGGTAATCGGTCTAGGGTTCGAGTCCCCCCTTCTCCTACTTCCCCTTGTAATGGACTTGATTTTACTAAAAAAAAAACAATATTGCAACTTATATTGACGTGGTCCTTTCAACCGATTTGGTTGAATTAATTAATAATCATTGACCCATTTTAAATTTTATTTATAATTTTGGTAATAGATGAAATGATGCATGTTGTATAACAATCAGTTGAAAAGTATTAAAGTAAGTTCTCTAAACAAAAATTGTATTAATAAGTCCCACCCTAACTTGAAACAATGGACCACCACAAGGCACAATTCATAAGGGCCATTTTGGATGTGCTTATTTTAAACAGTTGATAAGATTTTAATAAGTTGTTTTAAGAGTTGATAAGTTGTTACTTCAATTTTTTTCTACTTTTACTATGCTTGGAGCATACTACCTTCCATTCATAGACAACTTCAGGTGTTCCTCTCGTGTCTATGTGCTGGATAACCGAGTCCTTTTGACTATGAATTGATTGTGATTGTGGAGCATCTACTTTCAATTCAGACGAGTTATCGTCTCTCAATGTATCATCTTCACTTTCTTCCTCGTCATTGATTCCCCAATACAAAATTACAGGAATTAAAAAAAAAAAAAAGCGAAACAAGTATATAATAAAATTTAATTCCAGGACACGATGAAAATTGCAATTATGGCCACAAATGGATTTGGATGCTTCCGTATTATAGATTAAATTGGTTTTCACAAATGAAAGAGAAATTGACAAAACATTTATTTTTCTTTGGGTAAATAATGCAAAATCATTCTTTTGGACACGTCTATCTGAAAAAATAAATAATAAATAGGAGGTTCTACAAAACAGGTAGTATTAGTTGTTCATAGGGACGATGAGGGAACCAATTACTAGTTTTGTTTGTTTGGCGGTCGGGTTTTGCAGGCATATCTTTTCTTCGTCGGTAAACATTTGTTAACTGTTAACTAATACAGACAACACATTCTAAGGATCTTCAATTAAATTAATTGGCAGGGTAGAAATGAATGCCGCAGAACTGGCTAAATACACACATAAGACTCGAACATTTCATTTAAAAAAAAAGTTTCAAGTACGAAGAGTTAACCGATGTTACCTGTCTGACATAAGACATATTAAGAGTATTTGTTTCTCGCAAATCACTTATCGAATCAAAGTTACCTTCTGAACATTCTTCACGCATTACCATCAATTTATCTGATATCTGAATAAAATTCGTGTAAGAAAATATAGAAAAAAAAAACGAGAGTAGAAAGTCAATACGGCCAGTAAGTGCAGACGGGACTTTTATCGATGATCCAAACAGAGCCTATATTTTGAAATAACTCGATCTCACAATAAACGAAACAAAGTCTATGGCAGACCGAAGAGAATCACATAATTCCAGATCAAACTAGCTACCCCTGCTTTCGTTCTAAGTTCGACTCATTAGCCTCAAAGTATTATAAATATTGAAATCATTGAATCTAGTAGCTTGTAATAAGTAAGCATGCAAATGAAAACGTACCGACAAGCTGAAGTTGAATAAATAACGAGGAATTAGAAGTACCTCTTCGATGCTGCCACCGTCTACATCAGTATTGAGAGTATCCATGAAATCGTAAAGCATATCGTCCCCATGGCAAATAGATACTTCCTCTTATCCCCAAAATCAAACAACAAATTGAACATCAATTCACTCTGCTTACAGCAAAAAATGGAGGAAAAAAAAAACAAAGTCTAATCTCAATTTTATTATTAATTAGGGCACATTAAATCCAATTAGGCTTGCAAAAACTCTCCCCCGTCCGAAATATTCGCAATACACCAAAATTCAAATCATAATACCCCAATTCCACAAAATTAAAGCTAGCGGTAAAGATAAAATTACAGCTATAATAATTTGCATTCAAAAGTTTATTCAGAAGTTTAACCTAGAAGAAAGAAACATACCTTTGGACTGAGTGAGAAGACGAAGCGCAGTCCACCATGAAAGCAAGAAATTAATTCCCTCTTGCAGCTGCGCCGCCGCACCAGCCATCGTCGCCGCCGTTGTCGGATTGCTATTCATCCTTCTGCGCTTAAGAGTGAACGAAGCACAACCCTAGAAATAAGGTCTGCACTTTTCATAATTTTTACGTTTTATACTTCTTAGATAGCGTGTTATCTCGCACGCTTCTATTAAAGACGTGGTGGAAAATATTATCTATCTTTAAATTGTAAAAATTGTAACTTTACCATTTCACCCTTGTACTTTTTGGCCGTATCACTTTACCCTATCTATTCTTATTTTTTCTTACTTAACTCCTTGTATTTGGAAAGTTGTGTCTATTTTTTTATTTTTGAGATTAAAAGAGATTTAATTAGGCACCTTACTTGGATGAAGCCAGGCCATGAGCTAGCTTATTAAAAATAGGTGAAACAAATAAAAACCGACAAGAAACAAAAGATAAAGCATGATTACGAATGTCATCCAAGTAAGCCCCAAAAGGGCAGAAGGAAGAGTCGTCTCCGTACAGCGCCGTAATAAGTTGACGACAACAATCATCTTCTATGATAATCGACTGCCAGCCCTTTAGTTTACTCGGGCATTCTCGAGAGCGGCATGAGCTTCGCCACCTTCAACTCCTTGCAGTGTATGTCCAGGGATTGTTCCAACAGTCCACCAGATATGTTCCCTTGGAATTTCGGGCCACGGTGGAGATTCTGTAATGCGGCATCAAATTAATCTTCACTATCCCATTCGCAGGCGGGGTCCACTTCGCCTGCGGAACGGGGCATTTGAAAATATATAGTCGGCTCAAAGCATGCCATCCGAAAGATATTAAGGTACTATCTCCAACTTCTCAACTCGCATCTCGCAAACCCTTTTGCCCATGAGCTTCACGGTTCCTTAAGTCCCACGGTTTCCAACAAATGACCATAGCTAGATGTAAGGTCTCCCGAGATAATTTCTTTCGTAGCCTGTCTAACCAACTTCGAAAAGGATACTGGTTCCGACGAAAATATCGAGATCAAAGGGTTGACTCTGCCAAACCTCGGGCATGCATTCATCTACACCCAATCAATGCGTGCATAACGGGTCCGATGTGATGTGCATGTGGAAGAGAGCGATAAGGGAGGTTTTACAAAACATGGAGTATTTTGTTGTTCATAGGGACGATAAGGGAACCAATTACTGGTTTTGTTTGTTTGGCGGTCGGGTTTTGCAGGCATATGTTTTTTGTCAGTAAACATTTGTTAACTGTTAACTAATAAAGATAACACTTTCTAAGGATCTTCAATTAAATTTATCGGCACGGTAGAAATCAATAACCGCAGAACTGGCTAAATACACACATAAGAATCGAACGTTTCATTAAAAAAAAATCAAGTACGAAGAGTTAATCGATGTTACCTGTCTGACATAAGAAAGATTAGGAGTATTTGTTTCCCGCAAACTCCTTATCGAGCCAAAGTTACCTTTTGAACATTCTTCACGCATTACCATCAATTTATCTGCTATCTGAATAAAATTCGTGTAAGAAAATATAGAAGAAAAAAAACGAGAGTAGAAAGTCAATACGGCCAGTAAAATGCAGACGGGACTTTTATCGATGATCCAAATAGAGCCTATATTTCGAAAGAACTCGATCTCACAATAAACGAAACAATGTCTATGGCAGACCAAAGAGAATCTCACAATTCCAGATCAAACTAGTTAGCCCTGGCTTTTGTTCCAAGTTCGATTCGTTAGCCTCAAAGTATCATTGATATTGAAATTGATGAATCTAGTAGCTTGTAATAAATAAGCATGCAAATGAAAATGCACCGACAAGCTGAAGTTGAATAATTAACGAGGAATTTTAAATACCTATTTGATGCTGCCATCGTCTACATCAGTATTGAGAGTATCGATTAAAATATTACCTACTTTTTAAATAATAAGAAGGGGAACTTCACCATTTCACCCCTGTACTTTCGGATCGTATCACTTTATTCCATCTATTTTTAATCTTTCTTACTTTTACCCCTTGTACTTGGAAAAGTTGTGCTATATGGCCAACATTGTTAGTGTCAATTTTCCAAGCAGATGCCTTTTTTTTTAAAAATCATTGGGGCGGGGGTTTGAATTAAAAAAATATTTGGCCCCCCCCCCCCCCCCCCATCCTCTACTTATATTTTCCCAGAAAAAATTGGGTCAAAATTGTAATATATTTGAAATGTTAATTACGACCGACCATCATCTAAGGTAAGGTTTAATAATTATAAAAATCGTTCTGTCTGGGTGATTACAACTACCTCTTCAACTATAAGTCTTCTTACACATCCACTATTATGGAGTCAAATTCAACCAAATTTTATAGAGTCCGTGTAATGTTCCCTAGTCTTTACACATTTTCTGCAAAAATGCAGTTTATGATGCACCACAATGAGATATATACAAGCCAAAAAACACATCTTACGATCATATCTTGCTTCAAAATGTGGAGCTCCAGTGGGATAAAACGGATACAAAATTGAAAATATTCCATATTATCTAAAAGATTACACTAAATTTGAAACCGCAAGGGTGGACGATTTAGAGTTGATGGGTGGTTGTAATTACCCAAACATGAGGTTTTCTTTTGTAATTTGACCATACACAGGGGTGGTTGTAATTCACCCTTTCTTTAATTGGATTTAAATTGACGAAATTCAAAAAAATCGATAAAATAATGGGTTTTTGAGATGCTACATCTGGTGAAATACATCGGGTAATTATTAACCGTTAATATGGTGAAATTACTTCTCATTAAGCATTCATACACATTGGTAGGGCTGGAAAATAATTACCGTCTACCGAATACCACGGTATACCTACCAAACAATACCGAAAAGTTACCGAAACTTCGGTAACCACTACATTTGGTACGGTATTTGTACCGTACCACAATCATACGGTACGGTAGCGGTATTGTATTTTCAATACCATGGTAATTCCGTACCGTACCGCAAATTTGAATTTTATAATTTAATTAATATATATATTTATTTTATATTAGTTAATAATTAACTAATATTAAAATTACTACATAAAATAAATAGGTCAAAACTTAAAAAAGTTAAAAATACAGTTCTTAAAAGTTTATGGGACAACATTGAATCTTAGTGCAACAAAAAGGCGTACATCGTATTTGGTTTTCACTGAAATAGTACGGCTTCAAATTGTGATTGAAAAAAAAAATCATGACTCTAATAATCTTATTTTGCAAAGTGTGGCTAGATCAATGAAGTTGAAGTTTGATAAATATTCAAGGAGGTGAAATAGGCTTGACGGCG